CTCTGATATACCACTTCCATTTAATGATAGAGAGGTGCTATGCATCTCCAACTTTATGACTCTGTGGGTCAGACAACACCCAGTTCATGATGGGCAGCTCAGGCCTCATGGTGACTTGGTCACCCATGGTTATGTGTTCAGTCTACTAAAACCCAGTAACAATCCAAAAGCTATTTCTCAAAAGGAGAGTAGTTATGATTACTTGAATAACTCAAGCAATAAATTTACATTTACTTCAATTACCTAAATGCTAATCCAAACTCTGTTTGGTGTGTGTTGTGTTGTGTGTGTGTGTGTGTGTGTGAATGTGGGGGTTGATGTGTGTTGTCTTCCTAATTATAACCTAGCTCAATGTATATGTTCTATATACCATGACCTGAAAGATTGGTTATGTTAACCCAAGACACTTGAAAGTATATTAATGACTGGTTGTTCAACGAAATTTTAGCATCAATTTCTTTAAACTGGAATTAAATTTCACTAACTTTTGTGTGAGGAGAATAATGCTAGATTTAAGGGGGTTTATTAGCAACATTAGAACCAGGGCATCATTGAACTTGAGGAAATTTTGAAAAAAAAAATTAAAACGAGATATTTTCCCCATTGACCTTATTAGAACTAGTCCAGGCTTATATCCTAGAATTGCTAAATGATCAAAAGTCATTTTAAAAGGAGAAGTGGAAATGCCCCAATCTCTAGTCTTCACAACCATTAACCAAAACAAAACAAAATCTCACTGCCTTTGAGTGGATTCAACTCATAGCGACCCCTCCTTGGGTTCCTGAGACGATGTCTCTACTGAAATCGATTGCCTAATCTTCCTTCTGAGGAGTGACTGGTGGGTTTGAACTAGGTAGCAATCAAGTGCCTTAGACACTATGTTGCCACAGCACCCACACTATTAGATGTGAAAAAAAAGAAAAAAGAAAAAAATGGTCTTTTTCTTTCAGAAATAATGAATGGCTGAATTCTTATCCTATTATCTCAAGACATACAAATTTCTTCTTATAATGATAGACATCTATTTTTTATTATAAAAATAAACAGGAGAGGTCAAAGACTGGGACTGCAATTTGTCCTTAATGACTACTTCTTGTTTTTTGGCTATGATTACACATTGAAGACAACAAATATGGAGGTGCCACTAAACTGTATCTGAATGTATCCTACAAACCCATCAGAGAAAAACAGACATGTATAGATTGCACACTTCCTCAATTTTGGACCACTCAAATGGACTCAAAGGAAAGTTGTGCATTTAACATTTATAATTTTCCATTTATTTCCAAGCACCTTTCTAGATATTCTAAAAGTGTAGGTCATGTCCAGAAGCACAGTAGTAATAGTGTTTCAGCAAACAGTGTTTAATATTGCAGTGTGTGCTCATATTTGAAGATATTTATCTTAAAATATCATTAGCTATTTTACAGAAACTGAACTTGACATGTCCTACATATGTAGTTTACAGATTCACAGAAAAAGGACTCAGAAATAATTACAAGAGCATGGAACAAATTCTAAAAGTTTTGTGTCTTGAGAACACTGAAATGATAGAGCATTAAGGGCAGAGGTTTGAAACTAATCATAACATTTCAAGCCCACAATGGAAATCACAGATCAGGGATACAAGTGTCCAATGGCGTCCTAATTGTCACAAGCATTAGTTGGTGTAAAGTGGGGCAATTGATTACCCTCTTCTGCTCTCCAGAGTGGGATGTTTTACATAGTAACAAAACAACATGACTGGAAACGTCCTTGTGTGAGAACAAAATATTTCCAAATGAAATGACTGTGGTGTAAAGGTACTATGTGGTTGCCCATATCCGCATCAAAAGGACTATCATGCTAACTTGTAAAATGACCCCAAATTCCCATATGAAGCCTGAAAATTCTTTGTGATTGAGACAAATATTTTCTTAATTAAAGAATCCATAAAATTTTTGTTTTAAATTATTTGATATAAAATTAAGGATAAGACTTTTTGGCATATTAAGATACAGAATAATGTCTCCAGCCAATCATAAAAGGTTACGTAAAACCTGGCATGAACTGTAGCTGGTAAATTGTGGATCTAGTAAATGGTAGTGAAATGGAAAATCCTACAAGAAGTGTATTATTTGAGTTTTTTGTTTTCTATTAAGGCATGTGCTGGGTAAGTCTGAGCAATATTGATGTGGACCAGAGTATATTTTAGTGGCATTTTCCATCTTTGTCCAGGACCAGGGAACTTTCCAGACTCTGTAGAGGTATTCTTCCCTAAGTCAATACATATGAAATACTTGTTAGTGTCCACCACCCCCAAATGCTGCTTAAGAGAGAAGTAGTCAGTTTCAAGTATGATCCATAATGGTCAGAAATTTGGGATCCTTGTCAAAATACTAAGACATCATCTCCTTAATTTATAATAATTCTGAAAGTGATGAACACAGTAAGCACCTTTAGAATGAGGATCACTCATACAATATCCCTTTAGCTGCAAAACCACCACCAATAATATTTCTCAGTTATGCATGCAAAACAAATTGAGGTAAACAAGTGGTGGACACGGAGTCTATGTGGAACAGTGTTGTAGCTGTGCTTCCCACATATACCCCTAATAAGCATATAGTAAAGAGTGCTGCATTTTCCTCAGAGCTCTGCAGAACTCTCCTCATCCACCAAGGGAAGCACATATTTATATAAGCAGCTTAGCTCTGTACCTGTGCTTGCCACAGGCCCTCATCTATACTGTGGACTGGAAAAGCTCATCTCAGAGGCTGGCACTGCATGGAGAATTTGACTAAGTCAAGCCCAAGAGCAAAACAGGCCTGGCGGGCTCTAGGGGACCTTCCAGTTCTTTATAGTTAGACATTGTGGTTGGTAGATTGCTATATATGAAAGAATCAATCTATATTTTTAGTTACATCTATTAGACTCTCTTGAAAAGAAGATTCACCTTCATAGAAGACCAAGTATGAACTATTGCAGTTTGATTATGCAGATTTCTCATCTGAAGAAGATAATTTTTGAATTCAGAAAACAGAGAGTATTGTTATATATATTCTACATGTATAATTTCATGAGACTTGTTAACAACAATAACATCCATTTTTGAGTGGCTTTGAAACAGGCATTAGTAAAATTGTTTCTAAGATAAAACTGGGGTAAATCTATGTTATAAAAATGTCTTCAAGCTATCTTTGTCACAAGAAGAGTTCCATTAGAAAATTCAACTTTTTATATAGCTACTTTTAAAATCTAACAGGCTGAAGTTTCTCATATTGTTAGAAACCATAAATTTATAAAGTTGGAAGTTATTTTTTAAGAAGACTTACCATTAACCTCCAATAAAGCAGAAATTTCATTGAAGCCAAGATTTTCAACGTGCTTCTCCATACCTATGTACTGTTATTAGTATTTTTAAAATTGGAATTGCTAAATAGAAGCTAACTGGCTCATGTGTCTGCTACCAAGCCTAAAGACAGGGAGTTGACAGAACAAAAACAAAGGGCTTCAATGCCTGATATTACATTGACTTGCTCCTTGAATTAATGGGTTGATTCATTCATCTGATGCAACTATGTTAATAAGAAAAAACAAACCTATATAATTTTAATTTTTCTGGCTTCCTTTAATCCCATTCTCTGCTGGTTCTGATGTGCTGTGTCTAGTATACTGTGAAATCAGTATTTTTATATCCTTTCTCTGCACAGCTCCTTACATTTTTCTGCATAATAATAATATGTATAATAGAAAATTAAACTAATTTCAGTTTCCTACCAAATTAATTTCATGTTTGTGTGAGAATGATGAGAAGTACAGAAGTTCTGGAATGAAAATTTTAGTTATTAGAAACCAAAGCATTAATTTAGTTATTAGCAGCCAAAGACTTACTAAATGGTAGACTTTTTTTTCCTGTCAATGATGGGAAACTTCAAAAAGAGTCTTAGAAGTTACATACATATTGACACCTAGTTTAAACAAAGAAGTAATACCAAGAAGCAAGTTGGTTTTATATTATAAAAATATCAAAAGAGTAATAATTATGAGAAATTTTTTTTTCTTTGGGATTTTGCTGAGTATCAATATTTCAAAGTATAAAGTAGTTTTTGTCTATTGAAATATATAATCGATGATAGTCATTACCCATTTTTTGCATCTAATGTTAATTTTACTTGATAACTAATATTCACTATGAAGTTTTAAAATTCTGTCTACATTTCTTTTACATTCTGGGCTATGTTTTCAAGACAAAGACTTGTGAATGCTAGATAAATTTCTTTGCAAGATGAGGATAACTATTGAACTCATGATAGCATAACATAAAGTAGACATGTGCTCTGTGGTTGAGCCTTGGTCTAATAATATACAATTTTTAGGTGTAATGTTGTTGAAATAAGGTTGAACTAGTCTAAGGACCCAGAGTTCAAATACTGCTGACTTTCAGTAGGAAAAATGTATTTTCAGAAGAAAAATAAGTTTCTAATATTCAGAGACAATCAACATTTTTCACTCTAGCATAATGAGAATATTAAAAATCATACTTTTTTCCTTAAATGAAAACTCTTGGATTGCACATATGTACCCTTCCCAAGGCCTGAATAAGGCTAACAGCATGGTGCAGAGCAAGAGGTCACAGAGAGAGAACTCACTGTGATTTCCTCCTGAGCTTGGGGCACTGACAAGCATGGAGCTGAGGCCATCTGACTGTGTCCAGGCCAGCAGTGTTCAACCACCGAGGGGTACTAGGTGAGGGCTGCAGAAGGAAATATATATGACTGGGAGGGTCCTGAGAAAGCTGCTCTGATATTTGCCTACTTTTACACATACCTTTGCAAGGATAAACCACAGCTGCTTGAAAAATCCAAAAACATTCCTAAATATTACTAAACTACAGATTCAGTAGGAATTAACAATAATATCACTTTAAAACTCACTCAACGTGTGTGTGTGTGTGTGTGCAATACATAATAATAATAAAAAAATACCTGGATACTTCCAGATAACTGAATAACTGAGCAGTGTTATTCATTGTAACTTTGGATTGGTCATTATGTTCTAGATGAGGGAAAGTAGAGAATTGTAGAGTGTGAAAGCATTGCTATGGAAGGCAATTAGAGATACAGGTATCCAATCCAATAGACCAGGTTAAAGAGCAGGAATGATGTAGGGAAGAAGATGCGGGAATATGAATCCAGCTCCAAGATGTCTATGTGAATACGTCCTTTTCTCCAGGATCCTGATTTACATTCTTCATAGCAGCAGAAGAAGCTCTGGCAGTCTTTGCCATCCAGACACTCATAGACACAAGTGTCTTCAATCTCCTGCCAGAACATGGAATTATTCAAAGTAATCATTGCAGGTGGGGGTGGCCTTATATCGAGGAGAGAGTAGTTCTGCAAGAAACAAGAACAATACAACAATAATCATGAAATGCAGTAAAATAGCCTGATGTGTATCAAGCAGTGTGTATTATGTCTATCTATAAAGACGCGGAAGGAGTGCACCCACCCCAGCTGTGTCTTCAACAGCTGAGAGTTGGTTAAGAATTTGCAAATCTAATAGGAGGAAAAAACAAAAACTCAATGCTGTGGAGTTGATTTAACTCATAGAAACCCCTCCTTGGGTTTTTGAGGCAGAATCACTATGGAAATAGATTGCCCAATCTTCCTTCTGAGGAGGGGCTGGTGAGTTTGAATCTCCAGCCTTCTGGTTAGCAGTCAAATGCCTTAGGAACTATGCCACCAGAGCTCCTTAAGAGGAAGGGAGATTGGGCATTCTAATTCTGCAGACATACTGCCTCTGAAACCCAAGGAGGGGTCACTGTGAGTTGAATTGACTCCATGGCAGTGAAGTTTTTTTTTTTTTTTGGTTTGGAATAGGAGAAAAATTGTGTATTTAAAGCTTGGATTTCTCAGAGTATTTGTGCAGGAGGCTGAACGTATTTTCAAATATGCTTTAGTCATTTCAATTCCCTTTGCCTATGTTCTGCCTACTTTTCTGTTAATTTTTAGCAAATACTTATATATTATATTATTCTCCCTTAAATCTTAAACAATGTTCATTTTTAAGTGTGGAGAGAAAAAAATTGGTAGATTGTTTTCTGTGTGGATAGAAAAAAATATGATATAGGAATGATAAGACATTCTTCCTGTTCCATGTAAGTCAAGTGAATGTACACATTCAAGCGAATTTCTCCTTGTGGGTTGGCAGGATGCCAATAGCCAATATGAGTTATCATTGAAATTGTGTACAATTGAAATGTTCTCTGTTTCCCAAGTGATCTTCCTGACATGGAAAAGTCAACTTACATACATACATAAAATTTCCTATTCACTCATAAATGGGAGAAAAGATTCTTGACACTGAGTAGTGACATCAAAGAGACTACCAATTCTTCAGGCAGCTACTGAGCTCTTACACTTAAAGAGCTCTTCCAGTGTCTACCACTTAATTAATGGAGTACCTGGGTTGCATAGACTTTAAGCCCTAGGCTGTTAACTGAAGACTTGCAGGTTTGAGTCCACTCAGAGGTGCCTCTAAAGAAAGGCCTGATGGTCTACTTTCCCAAAATCACAGCTATTGAAAACCCTAAAACAACAACAACAACAAAAAAAACTCCCTGCTGTCAAGTCGGATCTGACTCATAGCCACTGCACCTTGGGTTTTCAAGGCAGTATCACTACAGAAGTACATTGCCCAATCATCCTTCTGAGGAGTGGCTGGTGGGTTTGAATCACCAGCCTTCTGGTTAACAGTCAAATGCTTTAGGCACTACTCCACCAGAGTTCCCATTGAAAACCCTAGGGAGCACAATTCTATTCTGACACATGTTTGTCATGAGTCAGAATCAACTCCCTGGAAACTAGTTACTTATTACGTTGAAACTTGTTAAGAGCATACATTTCTAAGTTTGGTTGATTAATGGAAGAGAACTAAAATTATATGTGACTTTCTGCCTAAGGTTTTCTTTGCATTAATGAAAGAAGAAAGGCAGGCATGCAGGGGACAGTGTGGAAGTAGATATCAAGGGAAGAAAGGGACACAGACACTCTCTTCTAAACTGGCTGGTTGGTTAGCCTATTTGCCATGGCAGGGTACAGTTTTGGGTAAGTGGCCACTCAGAGCTTACTGGAAAGCATCCTGTGGACCTCTAATATTTTTATCAAGGACTTATTGTACAAGGGAATATGGAACTCATCTTCTATTTTTGTATTGTAATTTGGTTGCATATGTTCATAGCTGTGTAGACCCATAAACAAGAAATGGAAGTGGAAGTGCAGAGAACTCAGAGTCACTACTTGTAGGTTTTTGGTACATCCTTGTAAGTGTTCCTGAATTGTACTTTCAGATGGATATTTATATAAATGAAGGACTGAAATATATAACCTGCTCAAAGTGTAGCACCCCTTATGGAAAGACCACTGACTGTCTACCTTCCTCCATGATTCTGGTCAAGGGACGAGAGTAAAGACCTCACTGTCTCTGAAGATACAATGTGCATACTTCCCCAGACTAAAGATTCTAAGTTGCAAGTGTATGAAAAAGTCACCAGAATGTTGTTGAAACAGATTCCTATCTCTTCCCAGAGCATTTAAAGAATCTGCATCTTTTAAAAAGCACCGTATGAAAAACATCTACATTTAGTAGCTAATAATTTGATTAAACGTTTTCCTTCATGTGTGTTTTGATGGTATTAACCAGATGTTGTTGTTATGTGCCATCAAGTCGGCCTGACTCATAGCGACTCCTCCTTGGGTTGCCGAGGCAGTATCACTATGGAAGTAGATTCTCCAGGCTTCCTAACAAGGAGTGGCTGGTGGGTTTGAACCGACAGCCTTCTGGTTAGCAGTCAAGTGCCTTAGGCACTATGCTACCAGAGCTCCTATTAACTAGATAGCCATCCATTAATTTATCCAACTCTATGCACCCGTGCTACCCTTTTTCTATGTGGAGTAGACTGTGGGTGTGGCAAGCATAGATGAGAAGCCAGGCTGTTATAGCACAGGGCATCCTGGGAGGTGGTACCAGCCAAGAATGGGGGTCAGGAGTCTCTACAAGAGTGAGAACAGACCACCAGAGATAAATGGTCACTTTGGCAGGCTGCAGGCAAATAAGAAGTGAGGTTTCTGGGGCAAGAAAAACCTCCATTTCACTTCTTCATTTAGGGAACTAAGAACCTATGATTGATAAAGCACCTGTAGTCTCAATACAGTGATTAAGAGAACTACTTTTGTGTCTTTATAGTTCAGTGTTTTGAATGTAACTAATTCGTTTTTTATAATATTGAAATAAAACTTAGACTGCTATGATCCCTAAATAGCCATATATTAGATTGCTTGATAAAGTGCTTCTTTAAATGTACACACCTCTTCTGTAATGAAGATTTTAAGCTCTTTATAAGATGGGTGTTTTAATTAATGATTCTCCAAAGCCAAGATGGGTCTAAGACTCACTCTTGCTCTGCTTATGTGTATAGTAGGCCCTTGGATGACACTGGGACCAGGCCTTCCTGTGTGCCAAGTGCTCCTGTGCATATTAGGTATGTCAATGTGGCACTGTACAGCTAGGAAACTAAGGCACAGGGCAATCAGACTTCTGCCTTTATTCACCCTTCAAGTCTGGAACTGAACTCACCTATTAGCTCAACTTTCAGCCAAACAATAGACAGGTCTATAGGATGAACCATAGCACCAGAGAGGTATCCACCCCTTAGAAAAATTAACCATCTGAAATCAAAAGGACAACATTTGCCCTGGGATAAGAAGGCAAGAAGTATAGAAAAGAAGGATAAATAGGAATGGGAAACACAAGGAGGAGATGAGAAGAGTGCTGTTACATTGTGGGGATTGAAATCAATATCATGAAATAAAATATGTATGAATGGAAAACCAATTTTCTGTGTAAATTTCTACACAAATCACAGTCAAAAGTAAAAAAAAAAATAAAAAAGGCAGGAAGTTATAGAGCCTGATTACCAATAAAAAGAGTTCTTTGGAGGTAATGGAGGCAAGTTTTCTAAAAAAACAAAAAATCCTGTAAAATAATATTTATCACACAGAAACCTATTAAAACATATTTTTGAATTACAAAAAAGTTATAAAACCATATATAATTCATGATTTAGTTTATGCAAAATATATTAATATAAATCTTTTGAATGTCTAGAAAAAAATAGAAACATGCATACCATATGTTAACCCCAGAGTGGAAGGATTATGGTTAATTTTCTCTTCTTTTTATAAGAATTTTCCATGTTGCAATTTTTTTTTTTAATCTAGATACATTTTTAAGGGAGTACTTGCACTACTCATTGGTCTTCAATACATGCCATACTTCAATATACAGTAATGTACATTTCAATTGCAAATTTAGATTAGTAGAAGTTCTCAGAAATATTTAGATGTGTAATGCTGTACATACGGAGGGGGCTTGTATGCTTATTTGCTTGTGAATCCATTTTGAGGAATCTTGTTGCAATAACTACAAGAAAGGTAGAAAAAAAGTGATTAGAAAACTGCCATGAAAATCTGTATATCACCCTGAGTTAAAATAATCTTTAAGGAATGACTAAACTAGTCCCATGACTCATTAAACAGAACAGAAATTAATGGCTTACATTCTTATCTTCAGAAAAAAATCTGTCCTGTTTTTTAAAGTCTATATTTTTAAATTTTATGTTTATAATATTTACGTTTATATAATGTTTTACATGGTTCTTAGAAGTAAAAGTGCATGTAATCACTGAGCATTATCTCAAACTATCCTTCCACTGTCCTTACAGAAAATCTTTGCTACTGAAACTTACAGATGATTTCTTCTTAGTGGTGGTTTGTTTTCTACAACTCGAATAGTAGTTAAGAGTGGCATACTCCATCAGAGCAGCAAAGACAAACAAGAAGCACACAGTCACAAAGAGGTCCATGGCAGTCACATAGGACACTCGTGGCAAGGACTTCCTTGCAATGGTGCTGAGAGTGGTCATGGTCAGTACCGTCGTGATGCCTGCATAGGAAGCATTTGCAAAGTTGTGAAAGCAAGCTAAATGGAATAAAAATAATTAAAGATCATCAGCAATCCTTCCACTCTAACACAGTGGTTTTATTTTTACTTGAATTCTTCTTCACATTTTATACTTACTATGATATTACTTTTAATTTTAATGTCTATGGAATTTTGTAAGCAACTTTTTAATAAGATTTATCATAATATTCATGACATCATTAAAATACTTGAATTAATTGGACAACTCCAATGGATACAGTCATTCTCCTATTGTATTATGTCTTCTCTTTTAAATATGTTTTAATGAAGATACTCTTTACAGGCCCCCTTTACATTCCATGAGGAGCTCTGGTGGTGCAGTGCTGAAGGCATTTGACTGCTAACCAGTAGGTTGGTGGTTTAAACCCACCAGGTACTAAGCTGGAAAGAAGACTATGCAATCTACTTCCGTAAAGTTTTATTGCTTCCACAATCCAAAGGGGGTTGGTATGAGTGGGAATGGACTCCATGGCAATAGGTTTTAGTGAGTTTTATACATTCCCTGAAGAAATCCCCCTGGTGAGACAATGATTAAAGCATCTGGCTGCTAACTGGAATGCTGGCTTTCAAAGCCACTCTTTCCACTGTCTTATAGGGTCTCTATAACTTGGAATTGAATCAATGGCTGTGGGATTTTTGGTTTTATACATTCTCTGGAGTCCCTAGTTGGCAGAAGCAGTTAAGGGCTCAACCACTAATTAAAATGTTGGCAGTTTAACACACCCAGAAGTACCTCAGAAGAAAGGTGTGGTGATATGCCTCTGAAATGTCAGACTTGACAATCCAATGGAGAGTTCTATTCTGCACTAACGGTGTTTGCCATGAGTAGTATTGGCTTGAGGGCAGTTGTTCTTTCTTTCTTTCTTTTTCTTTTTTTTTCTATATTTCATGCTTTTAGATATCTCACACTTGCACACATAATTTTCTTCTGTTTAAATAACCTCTTTCTTACTTCTTTTTTAGTGTCCAATCTGTAACCACTTCCATTCTTCCCTATCTAGCTCAAGAACCACTCCTTCTGAAGTTCTGTGTTTCATAGAACCCCAAGCAGAGTTGATATCTTGTGAATATCACTATCAGTGGACGTCCTAAGAGCTCTGTCTTTTGCATTATCTTAGAGAATTGCATACATATTTGCATGCTTGTATCCCCAAATAGATTGTGTGACAAATAAGGGCATAATGGTATGTTGATCATCTGTGTTTACCTGTCATCCTGTACAGTGTCCAGCACATCTTAGAAATTTAATGAATGATTTGCAATGAATGAATTGATGAACTAATTAATTAATTAGTAATGCACAGTGTTGGTCTGACCTCATTTCAAATATGTGGGTTACCAGTAAAGATTTAATCAGAGATCTAGAAAGAGATTTAGAAAGGGGACATACATGTTATAGGTAGTTTGCAAGGAAAAATTAAATGAGAAAAGAAATGGAGATTTTTAAACATAATGAAAAATAAGTATGTACTGTGTAGATAGATATGTTTTATCCAGTCTGATATTCTTTGTTTTTTAACTAAACTATGTATTCCATTATCATCTGACTCAATGACAACTAACAACAAGAAAACAACATTTCATGTAATTTGTGATATATTTGTGTGCACTTGACTGCTAACCAGAAAGCTGGCGGTTCAAACCCACCAGCCACTCCTTGGAGGGAAGGTTGCACAATCTACTTCCATAGTGATACTGCCTTGGAAATCCAAGGAGGGGTCACTATGAGTTGGGTCCGACTCAACAGCACATAACAACAACAACATTATTTTGAAGTATCACTTTTTCTATACATTTACTCTAGGAATTACAATATGCATACTTAATTTATCAAATTTAAAATTATTAAAAATCTTTAATCTCCAACCACAAGGATTTCAAAACACATTAATGACACTTACCCTTCCCCCATTGACATACTATTATTTTGCTTATTTAATTTTATTTTATTACCTTTTAACCCTATAATATAATGCTATTATTTTTTTCTCCAGAAAATTTTTAAAAATACTAAATCTAGTTCTGTTGAGCTGTTTCTTATGTGATCCCATATATTCCAGAGTAGAAATGTCCCATAGGGTCTTCTTGGCTGTAATCTTTACAGAAGAAGATCACCTGGCTTCCATGGTACAGCTGAGTGGGTTTGAACTGCCAGGTTAGAAGTTAAGTGCAAACTAGGGACTCAATAAAGACAGAACCAGAAATGAAATAGAAACATAAAGCAACAACATTTGTTCACCTAGCTAATGCTTTTGGTATTGAGTCATGCTGTTCTTTCATGAAGGCTCACAAAGGTCATTGGTTATAGTCTATTTGATATTGAAGTATGGGAATTTATCTTAGAAAGTATTATATCGGATAAACAATTGGGAGGATTTAGAAAAATATAAGAAATTGGCAAGAAGGATGCTTTATAGAAAATGGAGGTCCTCTAGGCTTCTGTATGTGTTCTTCTCTGGACTGATTCTAACATACCTATATTCTAAGGTAATTGTGAGAATTAAAGGAAAACTGTGGCGCATATTTGTGACCATCATCTGAATATCTGATTGCCAATACCATCTCAGAAGCAGGAGGACAACATTAGCCAACATGTTAACTCTGGGTAAACGAATGTTATTCTTCCATGCTACCACTTAAAAAAAAAAAAAAAAAATCCTAATTTTGATATTGGTATTGAGCAAGCAAAAAAATAAATTTCATACTATGATGCTTCTATACATTTGTTTGACAGGTTAATTATTGTGTAAAATATTGAAAAAATTTAACTATCTTTTAAAATACAAAATGGTGTTAATTTTCTCAATATAGATAATTATTTTCATGAGTATGATCTTTAATGGTGTTTCCTTTGTGGAGGATGCATGAACAGGGACAAACAATACTTCATTTAATATGCTCTTGGGATAAAAGTGGAATCTGTTACTAATGAGTCTTCTTTACATTTGAATAAAATATAAATATCATATTAACACAACAACAGGGCTTGATGTAATAAATCCTGAATTGAAGGCAATTCCCTATTTTTTTTTTTTTTTTTTTTTGCAATTAGAGCACCTCATTAGAGAGAATTATTTTCACATCAAACAATTAAATGTACATTTATAAACATTAATAGTTACATGTGATGACATAGCCACAGCCATGCAGTTGATTTGGACACATAGTGACCCTATAAGACAGAGTAAAACTGGACCATAAGGTTCCCAAATCGGTTTTTTTTTTCTAAGAAGCCATGTTTTCCTTCTATAGAGTATCTGGTGGATTCATACTGTTGTTGTTGTTGTTGTTGTTAAGGTCTGTAGAATTGGCTCCAACTCATAACGACCCTAGGACTCAGAATGAAACTATCCAGTCATGTGCCATCCTCACTATCATTGCTATACTTAAGCCCATCACTGCAACCACTGAGTCAATCCATCTTGTTGAGAGTCTTCCCCTTTCTCACTGATCCTCCAATTTACCAAGCATGATATCTTTCTCCAGGGAATGGTCTGTTCTGACAACATGACCAAAATAAGTCAGACATCTGGTCTGGCTTTCAAGGAACATCCCAGCTGCACTTATTCCTGGACCTTTTCAACCTTCTGGCAGTCCACTGTATTTTCAGTATTGTTTACCAACACCACAATTCAAAAGCAACAACCCTTTGGTCTTCCTTATTCATTATCCAGCTTTAACATGCATATGAGGTGATTAAAAATACCATAGCTTGGGTTAGGCACACCTTAGTCTTCAAAGTGACATCTTTGCTTTTCAGCACTTTATTATTTTTTTATTTATGTGTTTATTTATTTTTAATTTCAGCAGTGCAATGTTTAAATGCACATTTTTTAAATTTTTATTATTTTTATTTTATTTGTTTTAATTTTTATTTTAAGAGTTTGTTTTACATTCAACGTTACATGCACATTTAGTTTCATTCCCCATTTACCATGTCCAATCCTAACCCAGTCTCCTCCCCTCCCTACTCTGTAACCCTCCCCCATATTGCTCATATTTATGTACTCCTGTCTGTTCTGCATTTCCTCAATTTTAATGTTGGTCCTCTGGTGTCCCGTGGTCTATTGTTCTTCAGCACTTTAAAGAGGTCTTTTGCAGCAGATTTGCTCAGTGGAATGTTATGTGATTTCTTTACTGCTGCTTGCATGGGTATGATTGTGGATCCAAGTAAAATGAAATCTTTGACAACTTCAATCTTTTTTTTTTTTTTTTTTTCATTTATCATTATGCTGCTTATTGGTCCAGGATAACGTTTACTTTATGCTGAGGTGTAATCCATACTACAGCCTGTAGTTTTTATTCTTCATCAGTAAGTACATTAAATTATCTTCACTTTGAGTCCTCAATGTTGTGTCATCTGCATATTACAGGTTGCTAATGAGACTTACTCCGATCCTGGTAACAAATTCTTCTTCATGTAGTCCATCTTCCTGGATTATTTACTTAGCACACAGATTAAATAGTATGGTGAAAGGATACATGTCTGACACACACCCTTCCTGATTTTAAACCATGGAGTATCCCCTTGTTCTGCTGGAATGACAGCCTCTTTGTCTACATAGTTCCTCATGAACACAATTATGTATTCTGGAATTTCCAATCTTTGCAATGTTATCTATAATTTGTTATGATCCACACAATTGAATATTTTGCATAGTCAATAAAACACAAGTAAATATCTTGCTGGTATTCTTTGCTTTCAGCCAAGATCCATCTGATATCAGCAATGATACCTCACATATCACATCCTCTTCTGAATCCAGCTTGAAATTTCTGGAAGTTCCTTGTCAATATACTGATGCAACCATTTTGAATTATCTTCAGCACAATTTTACTTGTGTGTGATATTAATGATATTGCTCAATAATTTCCACATTCTGTTGGATCACCTTTCTTTGAAATGTATACAAATATGGATCTCATTCAGTTGGTTGGCTAGGTAGGTGCCTTCCAAATTTCTTGGCACAGACAAGTAAGGGCCTCCAGCATTGCATATATTCATTGAAACATCTCAATGGATATTCCATCAATTCCTGGAGACTTGTTTTTCACCAATTCTTTCAGCTTCAACATCCTCTTTCAGTACCACTAGTTCTTGATCATATGCCAACTCCTGAAGTAGTTGAACATCTTTCTTTCCAATTCTTTCAGATACAGTGATCATGTATTCCTTCCATCTTCTTTTGGTGATTCCTGTGTTATTCAGTATTTTGCCCATAGAACTTTTCAGTATTACAACTCATGGCGTGAATATTTTTTTTAATTCTTTCAGTTTGAGAATTGCCAAGCGTGTTCTGCCCTTTTGGTTTTCTAACTCCAGTTATTTGCACATATCATCATAATAATTGACTTTGTCTTCTCAAGCTGGTCTTTGAAATCTTCTTTTTGGCTCTTTTGCCTTGTCATTTCTTCTACTCGCTTTGTTGTTGTTGTTGTTATGTGCCGTCGAGTTGGACCTGACTCATAGAGACCCCTCCTTGGGTTTTCCCGAGGCAGTATCACTATGGAAGTAGATTGCCCAATCTTCCTTCTGAGGAATGGGTGGTGTATTTAAACCACTAATTTTCTGGTTAGCAGTCGAGTGCCTTAGGCACTATGCCACCGAGGTACTCTTTATTCAAGACCAAGTTTCAGAGTCTCTTCTGACATCCATTTTGTCTTTTCTTCCTTGCCTGTCTTTTTAATGACCTTTTGCTTTCTTTATGTATGTTGGTCTTGATGCCATCCATAACTTGTCTGGTTTTTGGTAATTAGTATTCAGTATGTCAAATCTTTTCTTCATATGGTGTCTGAACTCAGGTGGGATATAGTTAAGGTCATATTTTGGCTTTCATGAACTTGTTTTAATTTTCTTCAACTTCACCTTGAACTTGCATATAAGTAATTGGCTGGATATATTGAGTTTCTCCATTGCCTGTTTCCACAGATGTAGTTGATCTGACTACTGTGTATTCCATCTGGTGAGGTCTATGTGTATAGCCACCATTTATGTCTTGATAAAAGGTATTTACAATGAATAAGTCATTGGTCTTGCAAAATTCCATCATGTGATCCCTAGCCTCATTTTTATCAATGAGGCAATATTTTCCAGCTATGGATGATTCTTCTTTGTTTTCAACTTTCACATTCCAATCACCATTAATATCTGATATCTGATAAGATAATTGCATGTTTGATCAATTTCAGACTTCAGAAGTTGATAAAAGTCTTCAGTTTCTTCATATTTGGCTTTAGTGGTTGGTGGGTATATTTGAATAATAGTGGTACTAACTGGTCTTCCTTGTAGGTGTATGGATACTATCCTATCACTGTCAGCATTGTACTGAAGGATAGATCTTGAAACATTATTTGTAACAATGAATGAGACACCACTCCTCTTCAATTTGTCATTCCTGGCACTGTAGACCATATGATTTTCTGATTCAAAATGGCCAATACCAGGTGCCTAGAATATCGATATTTACGTGTTCCATATAATTTTTTACAACATTCAGTTTTCTTAGATTCATACTTTGTACATTCCATGTTCTGATTATTAGTGGCTGGTTGCAGCTGTTTCTTCCCATTTTGAGTCATGCCCCATCAGTAAGTGAAAGTCCCAAAAGCTTTACTCCACTCGTGTCATTAAGGTTGATTTTATTTTGAGGAGGTAGCTCTTCCCCAGTTTTATTTTCAGTTCCTTCCAACCTGAAGGGTTCATCCTCTGGCACTCTATCAGACAATGTTTCAAGCCTATTCATAATGATTTTCAGTAATATATCAGACAGTGTTTAACTGCTATTCATAAGGTTTCCAATAGCCTATTCTTTGAGAAGTGGATGGCCTCTTCCTTCTTCCAAATGTGTCTTAGTTTTGAAGAACCACTGAAACCTGTTCACCAGGGATGATGGTGCTTGTATTTGAAATATCAGTGGCATAACCTCCAAACTTACAGCAGCTTGCAAGCTACCACAGTACAACAAACTGACAGATGAGTGAACTGCTGACCTATATGTAATCACATGCTTTATGAGATTTTAAAATTAATCTCATTACTTATCTCTAAAATTTCAGGAAACATATATTGCAAACTTTCATTTTATTCTTATTAAATCTTTCTTTTTTTTAGTTATTTAAGCCAGTTACAAGGATTATAAATCTTAATTTGTATTCAAATTTTTAGATAAAAATACCTTGTATTTATATGTTGTTGTTGTGGTTGTTGTTTTGCCGTTGAGTTGGCCCCGACTCATAGTCATGTATTTATATATTTGTATATAATACTGAAACAGGAAAATAAATCTCAATATATGAAAATACATCTATCTGTATAATGGTACATGTGGACAGGTTTTCTTTGAAAAAATAAAAAGCTTCTTTCAGATGTATGTGTGATAAATTCACAACAACATATCATATTGTTTTGAAACTGATCTGTAAAATTCTTGTTTACAATGACACTCAACATTTGTAATTGTGAGGTCATAATCCCACAATTTTTTTGCCTGCCATGTTGCTAATTCTATCAAAAATCTTCTGTAAACATTTAAAACTTATCTCATTTAAAGAGCACTTTGCTGAATAAGCAAACACACCAAAAAATAGAAAAACAAATGCAGGGGAAAGGACAATGTAATAAGAGAGATTTTGTAAGAATTTTACAGTCCCTCTTTTCTGAAAGAAAACTTTTTATAAAAACAACCTCTATATGTGATTATAAGTAATATATCACTGCACACAGATCAAAATATTGAAAGTTAGATACACATCCCATCATGAAGAAAAGTGATATAAAATATGCTGCACAATTTTAAGTCACTTATAGTAGTGCTTTACTGAAAGTACTTGCGGGGCCAGCAGAAAATTTATGAAAAATCTTTGAGACCTTAGTGTGTGGATCACAGCTGAAAAGAATGACCATTATCTCATTTGCTGGTAAAGGTACTATACACTAGCAGAGTGTGTTTTTGAGAGAATATTTTTACCAATATTATGATATCAATCTTTAAAGGTTGTGTTTTAAGTGCTGTGTCCTTTTTGATGTGATAGGTTCCTAGACTTGCTTAAACTTGTGTGATGGCATTAGCCCTAGAACATAGTATCAAATGAAGCAATTGGCATATTCTGAATCAGTAACACCATTTTAATTTCACTGGTATAAAGACAAGCTGATTGCATTACCTAAAAAAAAAAAAAAAAAGGAAGGAAGAAAGAAAGAAAACAGTTTTAAACATGGGCCAAGTAGCCCTCAAATCAAATCAATCCCATTTCAACCAAGTACTTTCAATTGAAGGCATTTTACAAACCCACCCACTGCCTTCAAGTCAATTCTGACCCATAGTGACCCCATAAAACAGAGTACCACTGCCCCCACAGGGTTTCTAAGGCAGTAAATCTTTCCAGAAGCAGACTGCCTCATCTTCCTCTTTCAGTGAAGCTTGTAGATTTGAACTGCTGAATTTTTATTTGACAGCCAGATACTTTAACCAGTGCACTACTAGAGATCCTTATTTTTATGAATATTCCTATATTAAAATTACACTAAATGGTGGAATAGCTATTTGAAAACTCACCTAGTGCTGTTCTTGCTGGTGTAGCATCTTTTTTGATCCAAAATGACACCCAAGATAGCACCACAGTCAGTATACAGGGAATGTATGTTTGAATAGTGAAGTATCCCATTCTTCTACTTAGTTCAAAATATATAGTCATGACAACATAATCGCCTGTAATAAAATATTATCAAAATTTAGACAACTTTCTCAAGTAAAAATAATAATTAAAAAAATTGAATACAAACTTGCTACCATAGACTCAATTCTGACTCATAATGTCCCCCATAGGGTTTTTAAAACTGTAAAATTTTTCAGAAGCAGTGATGTGGTGGTATGCACATTACATTCTACATTTTATTTCCAATCATCTCTCCTTTTTTTTTTTTCTCTTGCTTGCCTGTTGAGATTTTGTTTCTCCCTAGCTTCCCCACTTGGCCTTCACCTTTCAGCCTACTAGACCCAGCCTTCTGTACATTTGAAAGTCACTGTATTTAGACTGTATCATCTCCTCCACTCTTATCCCTGATGCTTTTTCAGATCCTTCTTTCATGAGTTCAATCCATAATGTAGAAGCCATTCCAGACTCATCCTGTCCCCTCCTTTTACTGCTTTTAGCTCCCAAACCACTCTCACTTTCTATCACAGCTACCACTGGTCTCCTAGCAATCAGCACTTCTCTTCTCCAAACTATTCTATCACCAAAAGTATCTTTCTAAAACACTAATTTCATCACATGTCTCTCTTTCTTATGATCCATCACTTGCTTCTCACTGACTTATACAAGTATCAAAATCTTACTGTGGTCTATGCTATTCTGAATCCAACTCCCAGTATTCTTGGCATGCTGGGCATTGGGGTGCCACTGGCTCTTCAGACATGTCAAGATCCTCCTTTTAGGCCTCTGCATACCTCCCTCTCTTCCAAGCTCATACCCACCAGCCACTCCTTGGAAGGAAGATTGCGCAATCTACTTCCATAGTGCTACCACCTCAGAAACCTAAGGAAGGGTCGCTATGAGTCAGAAATGACTTGAAAGTACATAACAACAAAAAAAATATGCAGATAACACAACCTTGCTTACTGAAAATGAAGAGGACCTGAAGCACTTACTGATGAAGATGAAAGACTACAGTCTTCAATATAGATTACACCTCCACATAAAGAAAAAGAGAAAAAAAAAAAAAAAAAACTGTACCAATAGCAACATCATGAATAATGGAGAAAAGATTGAAGTTGTCAAGTGTGTCATTTCACTTGATTCCACAATCAACACCCATGGAAGCAGCAGGCAAGAAATCAAATGACATACTGCATTAGGTGGGCAAATCTGCTGCAAAATATTTCTTTTAAGTGTTGCAGAGCAAAAATATCACTTTGAGGAATAAGATGCACCTGATCAAAGCCGTGGTATTTTTTATCGTGTCATGTGCATGGAAAAGCTGGGTAATGAATGAAGAAGGCAAAAGAAGAATTGATGGTGCTGGAAAAGACTATTGAATGCAATATTGACTTCCAGAAGAATGAAAAAACCCGTATTGGAGAAACTATACAGCGTATCTTTTTTTTTTTTTTTTTCCTGGCAAGAGATTCTTTATTTGAATAGTGTAAAAATTGAAAGATGTACATAGAAATATCTTGTGTGTGTGTGTGTGTGTGTGTGTGATTTGGATGAAATTTACAGAGCAAATTCACTTTTCATATAGCAGTTCACATACACTTTGTCTCATGATACTGAGTACAATTTACCCCACTGCAACAGCTCCCTCCCATTTCCTCCCTGTAGCTACCTATTTCCTATGTCTATCCCTCCTTGCACTCCTGCACCCTGAACTGTCTCCCCGTGCATACACAGCCCTTCTTTCTCCCAAGATTGCTCTCTCCAAGGAGTGTATCTACCTCAGGGAAATGTTCAACTCCTATACCTATCTTTTATTTGGCTGGAAGCCACCGGTGTGGGTGCAATTTCAGACCTGAAGGGCAGCTAGGGGACATAGTCTCAGGGGTTCAACCAGGCTCTATCAGACCACCAAACCTGGTCCCCCCTCTTTTTTCCCAAATGATTTTGAGTTTTGTTCCACATTATTCTCCCTCTCTATCCAGGATCTCCTACAGAGATCCCCCTCCAAATGGTTGACAGTGGTAGCCGATCACCATCTAGTTCTTCTGGTCTCATGGTCATATAGGCTGCGGATTGCATGGTGTACCATCTGCTAGGACTAATTGTTTCCATGAATCTTTGATTTTCTTCATTCTTCTTTGCTCTGGATGAGGAGAGACCATTGTTGCACTTAGACAGCTGCTTGCAATCTTTTAAGATCCCAGTTGCAACTCACCAAAGTAGGAGCTAGAATAATGTTTTGTGTAGCATGTTATGCCAATTAAGCTTGATGTCCCCTGCGACTATGGTCCTGAGGCCACCTGTTCAACTACTCAGTCCCTCTGAGTAGCTGGCTGTGACCAAGAAGTGACTACAAACATGCCCCTTGTCAGCTCTACTATACACCTGGGAATTCTTACAGAACATACAAATACACTTATAGGACCATTGTCTGTCAACCCTATACACGGTCTTGGGTTCACTCCCCACTGCATAGACATACCTAATAGTTCAGCCTGTCCACCCATCTATCTGCCCATATACCCATGTTTGCCTTCACTGACAATGCAGTATCATATGTGCAAAAGGGTTCATCTTTGTTCTCTGTACCTCCCATGTACATCTCTATGTCTTCATCTTCCTCAATGCCACCATGTTGATCAGTCATATTTGGTACATTGCCCTTCTCTTCACCAAAATCAATACTTATCTCTACCTATCTAACAATGTTCCCTCCCCTCCACTCCCACCCCTGGTAACCAATAAAGAAAGTTTACTTCCATAGATAAACCTTTCCTTGACTTTACAATAACGGACTAATAGAATATTTGTCCTTCTGTCATTGACTTATGTCCCTCAGCATAATATCCTTCAAGTTCTTTCATGTTATGTGGTGTTTTGCAGATTCTACATTATTCTTTAGGGTTGCATAGTATTCTACTGTGTGTATGTACCATAGTTTGGTTATCCATTCCTCAGTTGATGGACACCTAGCTTGTTTCCATATTTTTGCTATTGTAAATAGTGCTGCGATGAACATGGGTGTGCATATGTCTGTTCTTGCCATGGCTCTCACTTCTTTAGGATACATACCTTGTAATGGAATGTTGTTGTTGTTGTTGTTGTTGTGTGCCTTCGAGTCGGACCTGACTCATAGAGACCACTCCTTGGGTTTCTGAGGCAGTATCACTGTGGAAGTATATTGTCCCATCTTCCTTCCGAGGAGTGGATGGTGGGTTTGAACCGCCAGCCTTCTGGTTAGCAGTCAAGTGCCTTAGCCACTAGGCTACCAGAGCTCCTTCAAATGGTATTTATAATTCCACCTTTTGAAGGAATCACCATACTGCTTTCCACAGTGGTTGTAACATTTTACAGTCCCACCAGCAGTGTATAAGAGTCCCAATCTCTCTGTATCCTTGGCAGCATTTGTTACTTACTGAACTTTGCTACTAGTGATGGGGCAAGGTAGGATCTCATTGTTGTTTTGATTTGCATCTCTCTAATGGCTAATGATCGTGAGCATTTCCTCAGATGTGTTTGTTGACTACCTGAATATCCTCCTTGGTGAAGTGTCTATTCATGTCTTCTGCCCATTTTTTAATGGATTATTTGTCTTTTTGTTATTGATGTGTTGGAGTTTTCTATAAATTCTAGAGATAAGTCCCTTTTCAGAAATGTCCTTGCTGAATATTTTTTTCCCAATCTGTAGATTCTCTTTTGACTCTTTTGGAGAAGTCTCTGGAAGTACATTTAATTTTTAGGAGGTCCCATTCATCTAGTTTCTCTTCTGCTGTTTGTGTATTTTGGGTTATACTTGATAGCCTATTTATGCCATATATAGGGCCCCTAAATTTTCTGCTAGTGTTTCCTTGAGGAACTCTATAGTTTTAGGTTTCACATTTAAGTCTTTGATCCATCTGGAGTTCATTTTTGTATCTGGTGTGAGGTACAGATCTTGAAACTCTCTTGATTTCCTCAACATTTAGAAGTTCTGTAACTACACAGTATTTTCCCTCTTTTTGGTTTGTAGATATCTTCATTTGCAAATTGATGTCTCTAGTTCTCTGTTTACAATCTTGCAAGCTTATTTTACTTTGGATATGTCCATAGCTGTGATTTCTGGATTATGTCATCTTGTGTATTAATAGTCAGTAATTGTTTGCTATTTTTGGTTCCCTGTTCAAAGGACTCCCTTTGGTATGGCTTGCAAGGTTCGTCTGATTTTAACCAATTCCCTCAGTTTCTGCTTATCTGGAAATCTCCTAATTTCATCATCATATTTGAGGGAAAATTTTGCTGGTTATATAATTCTTGGTTGAAAATTTTTCTCTTTCAGGGTTTTATATATACCATCCCATTGTCTTCTCACTTGCATGGTTTCTGCTGAGAAATCAGAGCTTACTTTTACTAGTTGTCCTTTGTAAGTAACTCTTTGTTTTTCCCATGTTGCTTTCAGGATTCTTTCTTTGCCTTTGGTTTTGATGAGTTTGATGATGATATGTCTTGGTGATTTTCTTTTAGGGTCTATCTTTTTTGGGGGTGCATTTGACTTCCTGGATGCATCTATTATCATCTTTCATCATTTCAGGGAAGTTCTCCAACAAATCTTGGGCAATTTTCTCAGTGGCTTTATTTTTCTCTTCCTGCTCTGGAATTACAAAGACAAGTAGGTTATTCCTTTTGATAGTATCCACATGAACCTTAGGTTTTCTTCATTTTGTTTTGATCTTTTTTCTGATTGATCCCTTTCCAAAGAAGTATCCACATATGTATTTTCAATCTCATTAATTCTGTCTTCCATTGCAATAATTCTACTCCTTTACCCTTTCAGTGTGTTATCTATTTCTGAAAATTTATTATTGATCTTTGGGATTTTGATCTGTAGTTTTAGAATCATTTCTAATTTTTCATTTATTTTGTCATTTTGTTCTTGGATTTTCTTCCAAAATTCTTCTAAGGTTCTGTCTGTGTTTTCCATGGTTCATCTCTCAATCCTTTGAAGATACCTAAATATAATTATTTTGAATTCTTTATCAGAGAGTTCCAATCCTACTTCTTCCTCAGAGATGTGTTC